GAGAACCCCAGCACCCCCCCCCCCACACCCCCCGATCTCAGTCCTAGAGTTGCTATGCAAAGAAAATATTTTTCACTAACGTTTTGCTGATGTGTTTACTGACATGTCTTTATAGATGCACATATTATATCCTATCAATATCGCCCTTTTGCCTGGTTTTAAATAATAGCGTCAAGGTCAGGGTCAAACTCAGGGGTTTAACACCAATCATAGTTTGTGTATGTGGGTATGTGTATGTCTAAGTGTATTAGTTAGTGTAACCCCCCCCCCCCCCCCAAAAAAAAAAAAAAAACAACAACAAAAACCCATCTTTTTCATTTAAAAATAGAAGTTGGTTGCTGGTAAGAAAAGGTTTATATTTGAAAACCAAACTTTAATTTTTTTAACTAAAAAAATTAGTGTTGGTAAAAATAATGGATGTGGGTAAAAAGTTTGGATGTCAGTTTAAAAAAAAAAAAAAGCCATTCACTTGTCAGTGAAAAAGGACAGATGTCAGTTAAAAAAAAAAAAAAGTTGGTAAAAAAAAAAAAATGTTTGGCGGGGTTAAAAAAAAAAAAAAAGTTGTCTAAAACAAAACTTAGGTTCTGGGTAAAAAATTGGGTTTGTGAAAAAGCAGCTTGGTTGTCGGGGGGGGAATAAAAAAGGAGTTTTCGAGGGGAATGAATGAATGAATAAATAAATAAATAAATAAATAAAATTAAGAAGTACCAAAAAAAAGCTTGGTTGTCAGTTAAAAAAAAAAAAAAAAAAAAAAAAAGGGGGGGTTAGTAGGAAAAAGAAAATGGCTGAAATTTTCTTTGGGTGATTTCCCTCTACGCCCAACTCTGACACCCCTAACTGGTGCAGCCCCATCCCCAGTTCTCATGTCCTACCCCCTCCACAGAGGTGTAATGAGCTTTCCTAGGACCTGGGTCAGGGGGGAGAAGGGGGAAATATTGCCCAGGCCCAGCCCCCCCAGCTCTGCCCCCCTGCCATCCCCATGATAGAGAGAGAACCCAGGTGTCCAGGCTCCCAGCCCCACTTCTCTGACCCATTACTCCCTAATGGTGGAGGGGGGTGGAGCCTGTAGCAAGCAAGGGGTGGGACTAAGTCTGAGTGGGTGGACATGGCTTAAACAGGAAATAGCCCCATAGGGGGAGGGGCAGGGCCTACTCCCAGGTGCAGAAGGGGTGGTGCTATAGGGAGGGGGTCTTGTGGATGGGGCGGGGCTATGTAGAAGGGTCTAGTGGATGAGGACAGGGCTTGATTCCCACCTTGACCTCACCATCTTCCTCCTCAGGAAGCCAAGAAAGCTGCCCAGCAGGCCTCAAAGCCCCCAGAGCTCCCGCCCCCTGCCAAGGTGAGGCTCCAGCCCCTTCCCCAGTTAACCCCTTGCTGTCTGGCCAGTGGTGCCCCTTGCTGGCCTGAACAGGGGAGGGCACAGGCCCCGCCCCCTCCTCTATGCACCCTTCACTACCCAATGGGGGAGGCAGGGGGGGAGGGGGTCCCAGGTTTCGTTAACCCCCTGGCTGCCTGGGCAGGGTGTTGCACCCCTGGATCTGCGGCGCCACCTAGAGGCCTCAGGGCACAGTGTGGAGACATGTGGAGATGTGCGGGTCTCAAGCCGAGCCTGCAAGGGCTTCCTGGTGAAGATGGGCGGACGCGTGAAGACCTGGCGCCGGCGCTGGTTCTGTTTCGACCGCCACAAGC